GTCACTAGGTAGGGAAAACAAGGCAGCTGTGGAAACGTCACCTTTAAAAACAAGTCAGCTCCCATATTTCCTCCTGAAAGGTTTCTATTAGAGTGACACTAAATTTAGGAGTTAAATCTTCAAAATGAATTCAAGTACCTTAACTATTAACAAAAATGTATTTTATTTGTGTATCACCCGGCTGTAGATCCTCCAATCATCTCTGATCTTGTGCTGACACTGTCCTTCTGGAGGGGGGCTACTTTTGTTCCCCATGGTTCCTGTGTGTGTTGTAAAGTAGTCACCGCTCCAAGCTTGCTCCCGGGATGGACAACAATCTCAATACAAATTAGTAAACTAAACATGAGATTGTAGTCCATCACAGGAGTGAGCTTGGAGCGGTGACTACTTCACAATAAACAAAACCCTTGTTGCAATAAGCAAAACGCTGGAAAAAGTATATGTGCCTCTCTTAGGCAGATTACAGCTCGTTTTGTCCCCATAGAGTCAATAGGAAACGAGCGTTGCAATTGGTTTAGCAAATTTTTGCCATTTACATTAATGTGCCACAATATGCTCATAAAAATGTGTGATTTAACGTAAGCACGTGAATATGTGAAAACGCTGTCGCCAGTGTGAATCAGGCCTTTGGGTCACAGGAGAACATTTACTAACCATCCCATATGACGAATAGGGTATGCAACTTCCAAAAGGAAGGAGTGGTGTTTAAAGGAGAACTATGTAGTGAGAGCTTTTCACTCACCTCATAGTTCTAGCCGACCTGTGACCGCGGTATACTGAGCCTAGGGTGACGGGAGGACGCTAGTTTGTGTCCTCCCGTTACCCTAAGGAGAACTATGGGGAAAAGCCTTAACCCCATAGTTCTCCTTTAAATACACTCTGAAAGCTCTAATCACATCTAGGGAATGAAACGCAATTGCTTTTGGATGGACCAGAGGCAGATAATAAATAAAGGAAGAACAATGTCCTTATTAAGGTGGAAGGAGGAGACAATGTAAGGTACAACTTTTATCCTAGGTCTTAAAACAAACTCCTCTGAATGATTGAAAGGACCAAGTTCAGGTCCAATGGTTCAAGAGGCGACCTCAAAGGGGGAACAGAATGAGTCACCGGCGGAACATTCCAAGGAACGGTAAGCTAGAGGCCCTTGGAAGAGAACAGCCAAGACCAAAACCTGCCCTTTGATGATATTCAGCATCAAATGCTGGTGTACTCCCATCTTGAAGAAGGACAGCCATTTACTGACGGAGAAGGAATGAGGGTTAAACCAAAGGACTTGGACCAGCTGAATTTATGTTAATAACGAAATAATAGGCCATCTAGATTTAGTAATAATATTTTCTAGTAGTGAGCTTTCAGGCCCTGGGCATGTTGGGAATTACAACCTCAGAATGGCTTGTTTCTCAGCAATTGGTCTTCAAAAGCCATGACATAAAACCCACCGACTGAGAAGCAGGGCCCCTCTCTGCCTGAAGCTTTATAAACACTTTCCCTAATCATCTCCTCCTGAGAACCGCTTCCTCTGTGGCCAAGCAGAGTCACTTTGGGGACCTTCAGTGGAGATTGCTGGTCTGGTGCCTCATTAACCACTTACTTGCTGTAGGCTTTGGCATTAGCTGGCCTGGTGGCCCCTATTCTCAGTCTGGTTCCCTATGGCCTTGGTTCTCAAGTGGGTCGTGACCCCGTGTTCAGTGGGTCACCGCATGCCTTCCACTTTTCTAGGTGAGAGGCTCCCTAGTGCAGCACCGTCCTTTCTTACACCCAGCAGCTATTCAAAATATGCTGCCCAGCGCCGAATGTCGACTTAAGGTGAGGTGGGCTGGGGGTATAGCCACGAGGGAGCTCCATTCATAGTGCATTGCTTATAGCTCCCTCGTATGTCCTGTAGAGGCGCCTGGACTGGTGTGACATCACATTCTGGCTTCCGGGACCTCTACAGGCGCACATGGAAGCTGTAGAAAGCAATGCACATGTGCGTGGAGCTCCATCACAGCACAGCAGCCCACACTGCCGTGCGTTCCCTTGCAGTGTGACTTGGGTTGCAACTTAATCACAGAGGACAAATGTGGGTCCTGAGGTTACACAGCTTGAGAACCACTGCCCTATAGAATCCATCTATGCCCCCCCACCCCTCTAGCCTGTAGGCTCCTCACTGTGAAATGACACATGGGTGCCTTATTAAACCCTAACCTCCAATTTCCCTCCCTTCAACAATGAAGACTGTTGGTTTAGTGCCTCATTAACCACTTTCTTGCTGTGGCCCTTGGGATTAGCTGACCTGGGGGCCCCTATTCTCAGTCTGGTTTCCTATGGAATCCATCTGTGGCCAGTCACTGTGAAATTACAATCAGGTGGGTTTTTTTTTCAAAACCTTCCCTCCAATTTTGCCCGGCAGGGGGCAAGGGCCACTTGTGGATGGCCCCAGTGCCACGTCATTCAAGCAAAGTGCAAAAGAGCACTTAACGGAAGTGAACACAAGTATGTGGGGACGTGCTAACTCTGTGCACATAGAGCCTTGGTGGAAATTGAATCTGGGACCCCCGTGCTAAAAGGCCAAAGCGTTATTGACAGATTCTTTGTAGGGCTACGTGGTGATGAGATGTTTTAAAGAATAACCATGGTATTACCTAGCAGGATCTTAGCTCCAATCTACAACTGAAATATGACTTTAGAATGCATTGGGACTTTACTCAGCTGATTCTAAGGTTTGGTGACATAAATGGAGTTGCTGAAATCCCTAATATGTGATCTGACAGCAGCACCACTGCTCTGGGGCGTCATATGGCACTTTATAACCGACATGCCGATAAAGTGAGTGAAATCTGTGTTTATAAGCATGGGGGCAGGCCCGGCGCTACTGCAAGGCAAGCCAAGCGGCCGCCTGAGGGCGGAAAAAACAGGGCATTTTGACAAGTACTTGTACTTGTCAAAATGCCCCGATGCCTGCGCTATGTTTTTTTTCTTCACTTACCTTTGGTGCAGGAGAGCAGCGGCAAGTCAGCACTGGTCCGGTGGGAGGAGGTCCAGGTGGGGTCCTAATTTAGCTGGCCGGCGACTGCCAGAGGATCCCGACACGCTCGGCACCTAAGGCAGTCGCCGGCCAGCTAAATTAGGACCTCACCTGGAGCTCCTCCCACCGGACCAGCACTGACTCGCCGCTGCTCTACAGCACAGCGCGCCGCTGACTACAACCTCACCAGCGAGGCACCTTCATCGAGCACTAAGTGAGGGCAGGGGGGGTCCCTAATAAGAACTAATGATTATTAGCAGGTGATAAATTTACAATTATCCTCTGCTAATATGAATGGATTAAATGATCCATAGTACATAATATGTACATAATATGTAGTTGTACTACAGATCACTTAACCCATTCATGTTAGCCGAGGATAATTGTAAATCTATTGTCTGCACTGTATACTCTATATGTAGTACGTAGTACATGTATGTTACACACGTCCACTACACTACAGCAATAGATTTACAATTATCCCCTGCTAACATGAATAGGTTAAAAGATCCATAGTACATAATAGTACATAACATGTAGTTGTACTACGGATCATTTAACCCATTCATGTTAGCAGGGGATAATTGTAAATCTATTGTCTGCAGTGTACTGGACGTGTGTGCTGTATATGTACTATGGATCATGATTTAACCTATTCATGTTAGCAGGGCAGAATTGTGAGCGCCTCCCACAAGCTGAGCACCGAGACGCGATGCAGCGATCCTACCCAGCAATAGCTGTACTATGGATCATTTAACCGCTGTAATCCTGAGTGTGGCTCGGGGTTACCGCTTATGGTACTGAAAATTAACCCCGAGCCACACTCAGGATTACAGCCAAGGAGGTTAATGCGCACATCAACCTCTTCATCTACATCCTTCCTGTGTATGACCTGTACAATGGTGGGAGGAATTGATCAAAACCGGAGCAGACAGAATCTGGAGCAGTTTCCAAAGGCAACCAATCAGCTTTTCTCTTCAGTTTGTTCAGCTAAGCTTTGAAAATGAAAGAGAGAAGCTGATTGGTTGCCGTGGGAAACTGCTCCAAAATCTGATAAATTCCCCTCAATGTGTTTAATGCACCATTGCCAAGCTCCATGTCTTATCCCCCTCAATACCGACATGTTTCCTCATTTTCAAAAAAAGGTGCCAAAATTGATATCACTTTCCAAAACAGGGTCATTTCGGAGGAGTTTGCAGCATTTCTATGTTTTATCAAGATATATTTTTGGTCTTTTTTTTAGTCAAAAAAATAAACACAGAGATGATTATATATCACCAAAAGTTGATTAAAACTTGATATACAATGGGGGTGGGGGGGAATTTATCAAAACTGGAGAAGACAAAATCTGGAGCAGATTTGCATTGCAGCCAATCAGCTTCTCTGTCTCATTTTCAAATCTTACCTGAGCAAACTAAAGAGAGAGATGCTGATTGGTTGCCATGGGCAACTGCTCCAGATTCTGTTATGGGGGGAATTTATCAAAACTGGAGCAATGTATTTGTGTATGATGATGCGTGACGGAGTAACACAGCCTGGTCATGGAGGGGTATACACAGGCCAGGTATACAGACGATTAAATTATATTCTCGGCCTACAATTGCTTGCTGGACGCACAAAGAAAAAACAAATTTGTGGAAATTTTGACAACTTTGTAAATTATGAAATGTTACTTTAAACGCAATTCACTAAGAAGTTATTTTCATATACATATAGCTATATCATACCACTGTTAACCATCTAAGTATTGCAGCTTCTATATGCCAGCTCTTTTATACACGGGAACCATCTTCTGTGGAAGGTCTCCTCAAACTCTCTCACACCCCTCTCCTTCACAGCACCAAGTTGCCGCCAATTTCCCTGAGCATGCGCAGTACGGCTCAACGCGGTTCCCATGGAAACTCTACAGCGCTCCTTACGAAGACCTACGAGTGCCTAGCCACGCCCCTCGACGTCGTCACTTCCGGACAGGCGATGTGAGGAATGTAAACTTCCTGTCTTGGGACGGATACCCGGAAGACGGAGGAGGAAAACACCGAGAGCGGAGAGAGCAGAGGACGGGCCGGGGAAGATGAGTTGGTGAGTGGGCACCGAGCTTCCCGTTCCCTTCTACAGCTTCCTGTGTATCATGGTTTCCTCTGAGGCGTGCTGTTCACTCTGTACAGGACCTGTTGCAGGGGCTACTAGTTGTCTCTCATGTTCCTGGACAGTACCAGACTCCGGGGACTTGTCTCTGGAAGTGTCATTGCTTCGCATTATCCTTGTCAGGATGTTTTTGTAAATCGGCTGTAGCTATGGCAGCCATACATGTGACAATCTAGGTACGAATGATTGTAAGCAAGCCATTCATTATCAACTAAAGTCCTATTAAACTGTCAAACTTTTCTTCAATTATGAATCCAGATCAGACAAATTTCCATGGCCCAGCAAAGTATTTCTTTACATTTTTGTACTTACAGCCATAATTATTATTATACAGGATTTATATAGCGCCAACAATTTGCGCAGCGCTTTACAAAATGGAGGAGACAGTACAGTTACAGTACAATAGTGTTAGGAGGGACCTGAGAGCTTACAATCTAGTAGGAGGGACATGTGATATACAATGTAATAATTGTTTAGATTGAGTTATTGGAAGAAGTAAAAGGCAGTGAGGTTGAGGTGGGATGGGCTTCCCTGAAGAGATGGGTTTGTGAGGCTCGCCTAAAGGTGGGCAGTGTAGGAGATAAGCGGACAGATTGGGGTAAGGAGTTCCAGAGGACGGGGGACACTCTGGAGAAGTCCTGGAGACGAGCATAGGAGGCGGTAATTAGAGAGCAGGAGGTCTTGAGGGGAGTGTAGAGGACGGTTTGGGTGATATTTTGAGATGAGGTCATTGATGTAGTTTGGGGTTGAGTTGTAGATGGCTTTGTATGTTGTTAGTATTTTGAATTTTATTCGTTGGGCAATTGGGAGCCAGTGAGGATTGCTGGGATGTGTCTATGTGTTTTGTACACACAAGGTTGGACCCATAGGACACTGCAAGGGAATGGAGTCACCCAAAAACATGGTCAGTACCAGTGCTCTGTCGGTGGGGTAGGAGAGCTCCGCCTCCGGTGACAGGATGGAGAGCAGTGAGTGGAGGAGAACGCCGTGAGCTGTCACAGGAGGTTGAGCTCTCCTCCCCCACCTCCCGCCCCCTCCTGTGATAGCCGATTCAGGACGGAAAGCGGTATACAAACACTCACGATCAGCTGATCGCTGAATGTTTGTAAATGACTGGACATAGTGAGCTTACTATGTCCAGTTATGAATAAATGTGAAGTGATCTACATCACTTCTTGTTCATTCGTTATGAATGAATAGGAACACTCAGTATAGAGGATTCTTATTCATTTATAACAGGGGCTGCAGAAAAAGAGATTGAGAACTCTGTGTCCTCAATCTCTTTTTCTATTTTAAAAGGGAAATATCAGGAGTCTGTTTGACCCCCAATATTTCCCCAGAGCCCCCAACAGTAAAATAAATTAAAAATAAATATAAAATAGTTGAAAAATTAATTCACATTTTTTTTTAAAAGAATGGGGAAAAAAATCAGTTTCGGTTTCGGACTGACACATTTTTTATTTTCGGTTTCGGTCTCAAAGTTCCATTTCGGTGCATCCCTATTAATCATCACACATAGGGGGATGCATTGGTAGAATTAGATTTTTGAGTGTAAAGTTATGCTTTAACTATGAACAACAATGTATCTTATTTGTGTATCACTCGGCTGTAGATCCTCAAATCCTCTGAATTGGTGCCGACACTGTCCTTCCTTCTGGAGGGGGGCTACTTATGTTCCCCATGGTCCCTGTGTGTGTGTGTTGTAAAGTAGTCACCGCTCCAAGCTTGCTCCCGGGATGGACTGCAACCACATGTTTAGTTTACTAATTTGTATTGAGATTGTAGGCCATTATTATTGAAGAAAATGGTTTCTACAAACGACATAATCAAACGGTGGCATGCTGGTTTTCTATTTGGAGGACAGTGTCTCTTACTCTGTGCTTGATGCTGTAGAGTGATTTAGTTAAAGATGTGGCCGGTTAAGCCATTTTCTAAGGGCCTGCATGGCTGCTAGGAGTTGCATTGGTGCCATTTAAAAGAATGGCAACACACTGCACCTAGTGCACGGTACTGTGCGCTAGGTCCATTGTGCAGTAGTGTGCGCTTAGTAACATGCAATTGGTACAACGTTCTGGTGTGAATGAGCCCTTAATTTAATGTATGTGGCATTCCCTTTAAGGTTATGGTAGAAGAAGAATCTCCAAAAATACTGGTGTGCCAAAGAGAGGGTAAGAAGTACTGGGAAAGATCTGTGTGTGGTAGGTTAAAGGAGAACTATGGGGTCAGGACTTTTCCCCATAGTTCTCCTAAGGGTAACGGGAGGACACAAACTAGCGTTCTCCCGTCACCCAAAGCTCAGTATACCGCGAGCTACAGCTCACGGTATACTGAGACGCCGCAGCCGGAACGGATCCCGAAAATTCCGTCTGGAGCCACCCAGCTGCGTGACTGACAGCTGGCTCTGCCTATCTAGAGACAGAGCCAGCTGTACCCGCCCCCTCCCCCGTCCGTTCCGCCAGTCAGCGCTGGTGGATCAGACAGGGGAGGGGGGGGAATCCCTGCAGGGAGCCATGAGTGACAGTCACGGCTCTCTTCGCGGATAGATCGAGAAGTGAGCGAGCGACGCTATGCGTTAGCTCATTTCCTGATCTACTGAACCGACCTGTGACAGTTTCATTGTTACAGGTCGACTCAGATTATAGAGCTGAGTGAAAATCACTTGCCTCATAATTCTCCTTTTTAATATTCGAAGGGAGATCACAATAGGTGATGAAAAAATTGACTAGGGGCCTGGTACTCGCATCAGTTGGATTGCAAGATGCCCGAAAATAAAACTAAGAAACCAGAAGAAGAAGCTTGCGTCTGTCAGCACACAGGTCTGGTCACACTTGATGCTTGTTGGGGATGAGGCTCAGAAGTCCCAGTGCTGTGGAACCTGATCTGCAATGTAAAAGAGTACACAAGCCCCAAAAAGAGAGAAAAGGGATCTTCAGAGGCGCCCTGAAATGATCAATTTTTGATGTTTGAAGCAGCTTATATGGCAGCAACAACTGTAATGGACACAAAATATAGGGGTGGTACACCCTCTATGTCTTTCATGGCTCTAATGTGGGCACTTCCTCAGGAAGAGTAGTGGTTGGCTCTGATGCAGGAACAGGCTGGTGAATCTGAGTGACACCATCATTCCAGTTGGGGGAGATTAGGGGTAGGGATGCACCGTTACTAGTATTGGTATCAGTGCCGATACCGAGTATTTGGCCGAGTTCGAATGCTCCGATACCTTTCCTGTTACTGTAACTTCCGGTCAGAGGGAGATTTCCTCCGACCAGCAGTGCCACGAGTGAACATGGAGCCGGGAAGCTAGCTCCATGCTATTCAGCCGGCTTCCCAGCCAAACAGCATCGAGCCGGCCAAAGAGAATAGAGTCGGCTTCCTGGGCAATCAAGAAGCCCGGGATGCCGGCTCTTTGCTGTCGGAAGTACCAGTAAATGTAAATATCGGTACTCGTAGTTGATACCAACAAAACGGTATTGGTACATCCCTGATTAGGGGCATTCATTTCCCTCACTGGTAAAAGATTTCCACTTGCCCATTCATTCTTCATGCACTCAAGGTGGGCTATGTATGTGTTGCCCTAATAGATTTTGGTCCACTTTTGTTTCCCGCTCTTTTGTATTCAGGAGTTTGATTTCTCTACCTCAAAATCCTAAACCAATCCATCCATTGCATGAAAACAGTTTTTTGCACAAAAGACATTCGGGGATATTTAAAAAAGTAAGTGAATAACAATTACTGAGGCCTGGTTCACACCTGTACGTTTTTTAGCGCGTTCAACGCTCTACGAACGCTCTACAAAACGCTCAAACATGAAAATCTCATTGTTTTCTATGGGTATGGTTCACACCTTGCCGTATTTCAGCCCGTCTGAACGCGCTACAAAACGGCCTACGCCTGAAAAGGTACAGGAGCTTCTTTGCGGCGTTTTTGTCGCACGTTTCCATTGGCATACAGCCAAGTAGCCCTCGGAAACACGCGTTTGTCGCGTGTTTTTTACCGCGCATCTCGGTAGAAACGCGCGACAAACGCGTATATTCGATACGCCTAGGTGTGAACAGAGCCTAAGTGGTAAGGATTGGGCTTCATTTTGGTGCAAGGTTTCTCAAGAGCAGCTGAGGTAGGAATTATGAATCAACCTGAATCCTCAGTCTCAGTTTGTCTCAGTCTTTCTCACTGCCCCTGTTCAGCATGGCTTTGCTGTGTGACAGAATTGATAAATGTTTCCTATTTTTTTTTTTTTCATATTGCTTTATGGCAACATTCGAAATGGGGGTTAGATTTTTGCACATTCCCATCCATCTCAATTTGCAGCATTTTCTCCAATTAGCAATCCGAGGTCCAGAAGAAGCTCTCCTTTTTTCAGTTTTCAGCTCTTCATTTTAGGACAGTTTTCAGCATTTCAACTCCCATGTTGCATCCCTTTTAATCTTGTATTTGAATCACCTTCTAGTCTTTTTTTTTTTTTTTTCCTCCTGTGGAAGTTGCCCTTTTGCATGGTCTAAATAAAGTCATGGAAGCTCAGGCCTCAGGTGGATCTTCAAACTTTCCAGATTAGTTCTTCTTCCATGATATTGTTTCCGTGTATATATCATTTCATTCTGGTTCTCAGAAGATTCATCTCCCAGAAGGAAAAAAGTCCGGCTCCAGGGCCCATTCACACCACCTCCAGATCATCTCCTGACCAGGCCAGATTGTTTCCGGACCCAAAATGCATCCTAATGTGTCTTGCATGGGATCCGGCACTTTCAGCTTTTCCTCCATCGCAAAAAAGGTGACAAATCCGACCTGTGCTGCTCTGATCAGGAGAGGATCTGTTGACAGATTCACTCCTGATCGGCCCGTGTGAAGGGGGCCTTATTGATGTTAGTTGATCATTATATTAGGGCTGCAACAACTAATCGACATAATCGATTATAATCGATTATTGAAAAAGTTGT